CTAATAGCAATGGCCTCCAACCTAATAGCAACGGCCTAGGAACCTATCAGCGATGGCCTCCAAGCCAATAGCAATGGTCTCCGATCTAATAGCAATGGCCTCCAACCTAATGACAATGGCATCCAACATACTACTGTAGCACGGCCTCCTACCTAATAGCAATGGCACCATGGCCTACAACCTACTGTCAAGCTGCTATTAGTAAAGTTGGCTGATGACTTACTGTACTGTACGTTGTCCGTTCTTGTTTTGACAGTAAAGGGAAAGGGAGATAGGTGATCATATTCTAACTGCATACAAAAGATAACAATCACATAGTGAATTATCATACTGTAACATATGGCCTCCAACCTACTAGCGATGGCCTCCAACCTACTGTAATAGCCATGGCATCCAGCCTAATAGTGTTGGCCTCCAACCTAGAAGCAATGGCCTCCAACCTAATAGCGATGGGCTCCAATGGCAATTGCCTCCAACCTATTAGCACTGGCCTCCAACCTAGTTGCAATGGTCTCCAACCTGTTGGCAATGGCCTCCGACCTAATAACAAAGGCCTCCACAACCTATCGCTTGTGTGTGATTACTGTACTGTATACACTGTGGCTGAACAGTTTTTGAGGTGCACACCTCCAAAATACAAACCCCGAAATAAGCAATGGGCCGGTCAGTTCAACTTCAACAAGCATATTCTATCTCCACTCTCCAAATTCTATCTCACATATGGCAAAAACTCATATTCTATCTCAGCTATGCCTCGCGGAGCAAATAATCAAATCCGCAAAACACTATGGTTGTGTATTCTAACTGCTGGTCATCCACTGTAACAATAAGCATGATCAGCGCAAAAAACAAAATCAACACAACACAACAGTCACAACACACAAATCAGAATTGACTTAAAATCAATATCAATCCAAGGATCGATAACAGGCTTCCCTAACTTGATCCCTTGGACCCTTCAGAGCATACTTTTCATCACGTAAGACTTCCAAAAGCACAGGCAACAATATCTCACAGATCTGTTGATGGCCTTTGGAATTGACAAGGGGACTAAACACAGGTTGAGCAGGCCTTTCGGGAGTCTGCGGCTGCTGCCGTTGCATGTCCAATCTCTCAGAATCAGTTCTGGGCTGTGGCGGCTCAGGCATTGATTCACCCAACGGTGCACCAAATGAAGAAGGAGCTGATGAGTCCATTTGGGTATCTAGGACTTGGTCATTTGCTTGCTGATCTTCAGCATGTGTCTCATCTTCTCGCTCTTCTGCCAGCCAGACGGAGGAATATGCTCAAAAATAGGGTTGTCATCATCTTCTTCCAAATTCCTTGGATGAGTAATGTGGCAGGCAGAAGCAACAACTTA